ACTATAAGCATGGCACACTGTCTAATGACACTTTGGGTAGTAGGCGACCATTTTGAAAAATGGCGACCATTTTTACTTTTATAACTATAAATTGAGAAGTAGTGGAGCGATTTTGTTCATATTTGGTATGTGAATACTATAAGCATGGCACACTGTCGAATAACACTTTTGGTGGAGGCTACCATTTTGAAAAATGGCGACCATTTTTACATTTTTTACTATAACTCAAAATGTAGTAGAGCGATTTTGTTCATATTTTATATGTGAATACTTTAAGCATGGCACACTGTCTAATGACACTTTGGGTAGTAGGCGACCATTTTGAAAAATGGTGACCATTTTTACTTTTATAACTATAAATTGAAAAGTAGTGGAGCGATTTTGTTCATATTTGGTATGTGAATACTATAAGCATGGCACACTGTCTAATGACACTTTGGGTAGTAGGCGACCATTTTGAAAAATGGCGACCATTTTTACTTTTTTAACTTTAAATTGAAAAGTAGTGGAGCGATTTTGTTCATATTTGGTAAATGAATCTTATTTGCTTATTTCAGGATGTATGACATGGGTAATCAGCATGTCAAAAACATATAGATAGAATATGGTGGAATAACAGCAGGGAATAGATGGAAAAACAGATTGCATGTGGAATTGCAGCAATACTTCACCTGTATTTATCGTGAAAAACAACTTTTATTTAATGAATTGCCGCAATACTTCACCTGTATTTATCGTGAAAAACAACTTTTATTTAATTCACTGGAAGGAGCTGTTGACAGATGAACAATTAGGATGATAAATGATATGAGATGGCTTGAGAAATGACAACATTACATCACCAGGATTTATATACATATATATTAGCTGATTAAAAAATAAAAAGACATATACAACAATAGGCATAATATATGATACAAGATGGCGCACAAGGATTTATGTACATACTACAAATCATATTCATAGATACTTAAATGATACCAGATGGAATGATGATGTGTGACAGTTGTGATTCTTATAGACCATGATATGAGTCAAGTGTGGAGATGCCCCCTCCCCCACACACAAACAATAGCATTATGAATCAAGTGTGTACATGCCACCCCTCCCAATAGACTTTAGCAAAATTTCAAAGATTAAAGACTGATGTTGATATAATTCAGCACAATGATGAAAAATGGAAATTTTTTGCAAGGGTAATATAGTATGGTAATTACATAGAGATGTGTGATGGCTTGATAGCATATACTTTGATCAGCATTAGTCAAGTTCTGAAATCACTTTATCCCGCAGCAAATTTTTTTACCCAGCGCCGGGACATGTCAGGTCTCAATCAATTATATCCCGACGTTTGCAAAAAAAAAATTACGGGACAGTGAGTTTGAGAAACTGACTGTCCCGAGGCTCAGTGCTACAAAGTGCTCATACGGGATAAAGGTGTTTGCAATTGCGACTATCCCGCGAGCCCTATAAAATTACGTGACAGTGTATCTGTGATTCATTATATCCCGCTCTGTGAAAAACATTTGTCGGGCTCGGGACTAATAATCAGATCTTGATTATTTTGTGATATGTATTCCAGATGATGAGATGAAGAAGCATACAATAAAGAAACCGCCAACATCCAGTAAAAAAATTGACATTAAAAGTTATGAAAGTTTCATTAGTGCCTCGGACCCACATACAACTGCAAAATCTATTTCAATGTACATACTTATTATAGCTTCTATAACATTTGGAATGTTAATATGAAGGCTTGGAGATAAGTGTAAATATAGTCGTAGGTGATCCCGTTACACTGAGATGAAAAGTCACCCCTGGCTCAACTCAAATGATGTTAACCATTTTCTGAAGCTTTTTGGTCGAACATTGCCCAAATATGGTCAATAGAGCAAACTGATATTTAGAGGTTCTGAGCTCGATCCAAACATCTGGATGAAACGATAATCGATACTATCCAGTGTCCGATCTAGTTTGGCTTTAAAATTCCGGCCATAAACAATTGGACAATGCAATCAATATAGAATTGTTTATTTCTTCAGAATGGCCTAATGGTATTTAGTAAACGGGATGTTTCATCTGCACTTGTAATCCACTCAACTCCGCTGGTTACCTAAACGGTTCGTTTCGGTAACAAAATGTCGGAACCTCAAAAGTACGATTTTCTTTTTTCTCGTTTCACGTATCACAAAACGTATGTCAGTACCATATGTTTCAGAAAATGTATTATATGTTTGCGAACAAATAATTCAGAAGACAATAGAATCGTCGATTTAATACCTCACTATTGTTACCGAAGCTGAACGGGTTAGAAGCGCAGATCGATCCGTTTCGGTAACATAAATGACCGTTTGTGATGAGAATGTCGTTGGAACTCAGCCTTCAACGCGTGAAATAAGGAAAAAAATTGTACCTTCGAGGTTCCGACATTTTGTTACCGAAACGGTTAATCAGCGTAATCGAGTGGATCACCAGTAATCTTGGAAAATATTTTACACTATTTTCGTGGATGGCAGTTAATATTTGTATAATAATGAACAGTAAAAAGCAATGTGATTCATTGAGAGAATTTAGAATGATTGGGTAGCATATATTTTGGATTTTGTACATATTTACGTTGTAGACATTGTATTCTCATATATTAACCTAACACAAAATGAACACTAGGAGCACAATGATGTAGAATAATGCACAATGGCTTGAAAATGGGGAAGGTCGATATACGCAATGGCTATTACATATCAAGATAGATTTAATTACAATGAGACCATTAAAGGTTTCATCAATGTCACATTTTGAGGTCAACCTCATGTAAAGGCCAGTGTAATTCAAAAGATGAACAAATAAATAAATTGAATTCTAACATTTTCTCCTCAGTGTTCCATGAGGCAAAAGTGCCATCGATCCCTCAATGGGTAAGAGACTGGTTTCATAAATCAGTGACAGGCATTTTGAACATAGAGGCATGTACATATCAGTGCAAGTATTCATTGGTATTCTGCATAGTGATTTCATGTAGCTGATCAAGTAGCCATATTTTGAAGAAACATGAAAAATAACGACAAAAAACGTGTTCAAAGGAATGAGTACACCTTTGTATTCAACCTATCCTATGTCAAGTATTGCTTATTTATGAATGTGATATACCAATGGATAGACAATTCAATTTTCAATAAAATTATATATGACATAACATAATGATGTTACTTTACTCCATTAGTTTTATTATAGAGGTATGTCAGTGTACGTTCAATGTTGAACTACCACTTGTGGTATGACTAAGAATGATGTGTCTTAACTAGTGTGTACTCGATAATTAAGTTTTGAAGATAATTCTGATTCATTATATGGTACAAAGACGCGTGCTGACCCAAATAAGGTGAAATACCTTGCTAATAACCACGGAGCTCGGCCAGATTTATCAGTGTAGACCTAGTGCCGTAGTGTAATTATATTTGTCCTAAGGCACTACGTCTACATTGATGAATCTGGCCGAGCTCCGTGCTTATAACAATACTTATTCAGTCTTTCATAACTTTTATCATATATTTAATTATTGAAAAACTGAAATGTAATCTTATTCAGGGTTATTCATAAGTATTGATTTGCACTTTGAAACGACGTTAATAAATCTTATTTTCATGTTCAAATGTTCATTTTTTGTAAAAGATTTATTTTACTATAGATTTAGTTTCCTATCCACATTTATTAAATTATATCCTCGTACACGTCAGAGTCAACGATACAACTGGATGTAACGCATATTGTAAATTGTATTATGTTGTATTGCACTGTACAGGGGAGAGCAATCATAGAAAATTGGCATGTTAGTCTACAATGCAAGTTCATGGTAGTATCGGCCATATTCATACTTTTGGTAAGTCAATGATCGAGCAAATCAGTGTAGATATAATTTATTTCTTAATAAACAAAGAACAAAGAACATATGATAAGGTTGACAGGTGGCATCATTTCTGATGTTAATTCCTATATATGTTAAAGAATATTATTAAAAATAAGAACAACGTAAATTCAAAGGTCATCTAATCTGAAAATGTGGAATAATATGTGTTTATTTATTTACTAAGATATTCACCGACTGGCTTTTGATTTTGATTCAGAAAAACTTTTAAAATTGCCATATTTAGGAAACCTTTATTAAGCCCATGGCCTTTCAACTAGAAAGGTAGGCACTTTTCCTTATTTCATACATAATCATTGCCTTTGGGTTTTCAAAATTGGAGAATGTACACATTACAAGAAAATCTTATTTTGTACTTTTTATGGATGATTTAAAGAAATAACTCAAAAACTTGATTATCTACATACTGTACATGTTGATAATTTAATTAAAAATTGAATTCATCATAATTATGGCAATAAAGAAAGTGAACAATCTCCCACAAATCATGTTTTATTGGAATGTGTTCTTGAATAATTACCCACAATGCAATACTCGAAGAGAACATCTTGATACATCTTATTCTTATTGGTCTTTTTGTTTACTTTTACATCAGATTGAACATATTTTATGCTTTAATCATATTGAAAACTGGGTTTTTATTCAAAATAATACTGAAACATATACATTTATCTAATACTTTTTGAAATATTACCATAAAAAGGGAAGCATGGCATTGTTCATTTTGAAGGACTCATGTTTATTACACAGTTGCATACCCTCTAATTGAAAACCCATGTTAAGCCTTATGAATCTCTCACTTGGGACTTGCCTTATGTAGGCAACAAATGTGCCCTTGCATCTTTGCAAAGATAGAAATGAAGAATTATGCTTCCTACAACATCTAATTGCACGTTCATCTTATCAATATTACAAAGATTTTTTTAAAAACAACCTTTTCAATGTCGTGCAACATAAATAAATTCTGGATAAATAAATAAATGAATGACCTTGGTCTTATTTCTGTGTTTACTTTTTCACCGATAAGATTTGATTCTATAGTTTATGAGAACTTCACCACACTTTGACATAGTTTGGTAATTTCTATTCAGTACATGATATCATGTAGACCGAAGTATGTTACCGTATTATATCATTCAGTTTTAATCAAACATTAGTGATCAAACAAGCATCTAATTGCAGCCTGACTAATTCGATATTTATTATGGCGAAATTTAAATTTTTTACATTTTTGTTACTTCAACTCAAGCTTTTTGCCCAAGGGCAATATACGGACGGACCAGAGGTTTTAACCAATCCAAATTTTGAGAATGACTTCGGAACTTCTGATTGGTTTTGTAATGGATGTACTGTTGATAGAACTAGCGAAGACAAGGTCGAAGGACAATATAGTGCTCGAATCACAAACAGGTAAATCAGACCACAAATGTTATTCTAATTTATTTTACTTCCAATGGTTTCTTTAGCATTCATTTCAATGCAATCAAAACCTCTGTTTTATTCTTTCCTTTTTGACAATATTGATGATCTAAATAGTAAAACTGATAAAGAAACAATGCCAAAAGAGCTACAATGTCAGTGTGACCAAGTGATTTTCCTATTGGTCATTTTTCATATATGTTTAACATTTATTTAAGGCGTGCAGGGTGGGCTGGAATAGCTCAAAATGTGAACCTCGCTGCAAATACAAGATACGCAGTCTCTGGACATATCAAATTGTTAAATAACGTTTCGACACACCTTTATCATCGAGTCCAGTATAGGGTCAATATTAACAACGGCGGTATGTATTACCCTTATTATATGATAGTTATACAAATTAAAATGCAGGGTGTTCCAAAAGTAACAGGACTGGTGCTGGCATTTTGTTGAATATGCTCCAATCGTCTTTAAAATTGTACATAGTATACTTTCATGTATTGTTACTAAAATTGCAAAGTTTCGACAAAAATTATTAAACTGGAGAAGAGTTGTGGTTGCTATGGTAACATGACATCACAATACCCGGGGCAACATTCCACGCAGAAAGTTACAGAGACTTTTTAAGCATTTTGCAAATCCCATATCAAAGTTAGAATCCAACAAATGGTGGGAATTACATTTGCTAAATACATCATTTGATATTCCTATGCATCCTCTACTTTGAAAAGTGGGGTCCTCTTGGGTCAGTCCAAGAGTAGCACTCTGTATCCATGACTCAAACACATGAGTGAACCCATTTGATGACATGTTACGCAGGGTCGATAGGACAACTTGGAGATGGTCATTCTCATCTTTAACGGTCTTACCACGCTGATTAGCATTCCATTCTCAATATAAAAGTAAAAATTAGATATTGCATGATCAGAAGAGTATGGTGCATGGTCTTTAGACCTCAAGACCTCGCTCCGCTAAAGCTGCAGTGGTCTTTAATGCTGACTTGTGGGCAGTCGCCTTTTCAAGGTGGATGACTGGCTTCAAATTGCATTGGGTCTTTTCAAAAACTCAACAGTGAATTGTGCAGACTGTTATACATAATGATATTTCAGGCAAGTGAATAGATATTATTATTATTATGAAATCATACTTGAATCTGAGTTGTATAGCAACATCATAACTATAAAGCAACTAATAAAACAAACAAGAAATGTTGTATTGAAATAGCTGAATTAGATACTTTCTTCAGTAATATAAAAATGTTAGATATTACATTTTCATGAAAACGTTGCCCCGGGTATTGTGATGTCACGTTACTATAGTAACCATTACTTTACCCGCATTTTATCATTTTTTTCTGAAACTTTACAATTTTAGCTGCACTACGTCAAAGTACAATTTGTGAAAATTTGAACACACTCGGTGCAGAATTGAAAAAATGCCAGCACCAGTCCTGTTACTTTTGGAACACCCTGTATGTCCAGTAAAAGAAAATATTATCTGCCCAACACAAGAAAAAATATTTCACTTTTTGTGGTTTTACAACATGGGGTCTATGGGGAATCTCCCCGACCTAGAAGTCACATTTTCAAAGAAAATTAAATTTTCAAAGTTGATTAACTCGTTTCAAAACCACATTTCTAAATGTGACATCATTTTGACTGAATTGTGAATTTTTAATGACGTAAATCAAGATTATTTCTACTAGCATCTGGGATATTAGATTTGAACTGCATCATTCCTAGTAAAACCCATTCTGGTACTCATAGCATCTTTCTGTTTCACCTGAAAGGGCTGTGAAGAAATGAGATGGTTTATCATGATGAATAAAACCAGATAAACATTGTATTACATTAAAAGAATTAATTGAAAACCATCAAGTCCAATATTTGTTAATTTGTTCCATAGGTCAGAATATTGCGGTCGGCAGGCTTCCTAATCTTAGGCAGGCTCAAGGCTGGCAGAAAATAGGAGGAGATTTCATAACACCAGCAACAGGTATACGATTTATACTGTACAAATTTGAAATTACTGACTTATCAAGAGGTTATTTATAAATTAGTCACAAATGACTATATAGCTATTTAGAAGGAGGATTACACTTAGGGACGCATAACTATAGACAGTGAGGATTTACGAGGGCGATCAATGATTTATAAAAACGTTTACACCGTGCTTCTTATGGCCGATCTCCATAGATTTTTAACATGTTATAAATCATGATACAATAAATTTCTAGTCCTCGAAATATGAAGACATCACAGAACAGACAACCTTGGAAGATGATCACTTATATTTTGAAACTATTTAGCTTCCTTAGTTTGCATATTTCAGATGGATTATCATTCTAATTCTGTATTATTTCAGACTGAGATACTAAGCGTTACCCCCCTATCACACCAAACTAGTTCTTACCCGTTCTTGCCAGTCTTACGAAAACGTCGTCAAACGGGCTCAATCTGGCTGTGGTCGGGAAATATGTCTGAAATAATTAGCTTCTTCGTTCTTAAACAGTCTTCAATACGTCCATCTCGTTCGCAGTTCGTTCAGGTCGCACCACGTCGGAGTGCAACGTCGTAGAACGCGTCCCTTAGTCTAGAAGGTCAACATGACCAGATTACAGAATGGTATGGTCGTCATTGAATTTTGAATCGATTCAAAATTCTAAAATCACATTCCCGTCTGAGAACGTTCATAAAGTTCGTAAATAGACCTTGGAAAGTTGCAGCTACGTTCATTCCGTTCGCACACAGTTTAAAACCAGTTTTGAAGAACGCAGTGGCAGCTTGTTTGGTGTGATACCGTACATCTAATTACTAGCCTTACACCATGCCATGTCGTCGGCATGCCGCCCGAATTTCGTGGTCAAATCGAACGCTTTTCGTGGTCACCGCGGGCGCGTCACGAGTGCGCTTCAAGCTCATCGCGGGATAATTTCGTATGTACCACGGAGTTGGTTCATTCGCGTAGCTTTCGCTCACCATTCGTTCCACGGACGCCACATTATAGTTTCACGTAGTTACATTGTAAGTGTATGAGATTCCATTTACTTACCCGATGGACAAATGGTAAATCAGGTTTAAAACCATTATCTTTCAACGTACAATTACACGATCTTTCATTCCCAGTGGATATTAAGTTCTTTTCTTCATCCCGATAAACATCTGATGAATGAAGATGTATGCTTTCCATGTACATCACATTTTATTATACAATTGATAAGACTCTCTAAATAAGTCGCCCTAGTCGGAAACAAATAATTTAACAAAGCGTTTTTCGAAATTCTTTTTAAATCATCTGTTCCCATTTAACCGCAGCACCGTATAAATGCACATTTTTATTGGATAGTGAATTTAATCAATGCGATGAATTTACATGAAATTTACAGATGCCGTATGTGAACAATCCCAGTAATCATTGTAACTGATTTCATTGGAAATGCCTCTTATTAGCGTATCTAACGCAACTAGCCTGGCGCATTACAGTACGTAGTACAAGTGTCTTTTCTGGCGAGAGGTCTCGGTCGAGGGGTCTGGGAGACAAGGTCTAGTAGCTAAGCTTCCCCAAACCACCGTCAGTACTTATGTGACAGGTAGAGTATATTTGGTTGATCCTAGGGTTATGACATTGATGTGTCATTTCCTATAATCATCGAGTTATTCGATGATTACTAACTTATATTTCTTCATCAGCAGCCGAAAGAATGCTGTTTGGGTTTTAGTTCTATCATTCAGTTGTGCTAGAGATAACTTTTGGTTAAGATGACGTTGTGGTTTGGTTCTGTGTTTAAGTTTCATATATAGTGGTGTATGTTTTATGTTCATGGTATGTAAATTGGAAGAGTTGTAAATTTGTTGTCTTTAGTAGCGTTTCTGCTTTATCGGAGTTTGCGGTATTTTCGTTTATAAAAATGGTATTGGTTTGGATGTGTGTAGTGTGAGTTTGTGGTGGGTTCCCTGTTTGTCAAAGGTTTGGGTATTTAGTCTTGTGTTTGAGCTTAGTGTTGATTTTGTGACAGTGTGTAGTGGTGGTAGTATATATTATTGTTAATATGTTTACTTGACAGGGGATCTGTTTTCCCGTGTCGGGTTGTATTTTGGTTTTATCGAAGTTTAGCAGTATTTTGGTTTGTAAATTTCGTGTATGTTTGGCGGCGTTTGTGGTATGTATGTGGTAGAAAATTTGTTTTTCCATGAATTGGGTGTATAGTGTCATGTCTGAGGTTTATTTTGGTGTGTGTGTTATGGTAGTAGCATCTCTTGTTATTGAGATATTAACTTGATTTTGGAGGCTGTCTTCCCGTGATTTCATTATGTTTCGATTATCCCGTGTTTGTGTTTTGTCGGGATCGTGTATGCGTATTGATTAATTGCATCAAGTTGTGGTCAGTTTGTTTGTTTGAATTTGTTTTGTTTGTTTGGTTTGTTTTTTACCTTTTATGGTTAGGTGTTTTTTATGTCAGTAGTGTGTGCGTTGGGGGAGTTGTTAGCTTGTTCGCGATTGTTTGTATTTTGGTTTTATCGGAGTTTTGTAGTGTTTTGGTTTGTAAATTTCTTGTTTTATTTGTTTTGTGTGGCGTTTTTATATGTAAGTGGTAGATAAGTTGTTTTGCAACAGTTTTGGGTGTGTAGTGTCATGTCTGAGGTTCATTTTGGTGTGTGTGTTATGGTAGTAGCATCTCTTGTTGTTGAGATATTAACCTGATTTTGGAGGCTGTCTTCCCGTGATTTCATTATGTTTTGATTATCCCGTGTTTGTGTTTTGTCGGGCAGTCTGTGTCGGGATCGTGTATGCGTATTGATTAATTGCATCAAGTTGTTGTCAATTTGTTTGTTTGAATTTGTTTTGTTTGTTTGGTTTGTTGTTTACCCTTATGGTGAGGTGTTTTTTATTTTGATAGTGTGTGCGTTGGGGAAGTTGTTAGCTCGTTCGCGATTGGTTACGGTATTTTGGTTTTATCGGAGTTTTGTGGTATTTTGGTTTGTAAATTTCGTGTTTGTTTTGTGGCTTTTTTTGGTATGTAAGTGGTAGGTAAGTTGTTTTTCAACGGTTTGGGTGTGTAGTGTCATGTCTAAGCTTTATTTCGATGTATATGTTGTGGTCGTAGCATCTCTTGTTATTGAGGTATTAACTTGTTTCTGGGGGCTGTCTTACCGTGTTTTCAATTTGTTGACTGTCCCGTGTTTGTGTTTTGTCGGGATGGTGTATGCGTTTTGGTGAATTGTAGATCACGATTTTGTCCGTTTGTTTGTTAAAATTTGTTTCGTTTGTTTTGTTTGTTGATATGAGTTTTATATGATGTACGGGTAATGTGTTTGATAGTCTGTTGTATATGCTTGTGTTTTACATGTACTTCCATTGTTTTTTTAAGAATGGGCTGTTTCTAAATAGGGTTCCCGGTTGGGGAAACCTGGTTTGGTTGGTTGTTTGTGAGTAAATGCGTTGTTTTTTAAAGTATGAATTGGAGTGAGTGTTTATCTCCATAGGGTTATAAAGTGTATATATTTTTGTATTACCGGGTCGGCAGAAAAAGATTGTTCAATATTCGGGACGCTGATAAGAAATGTTCGAAACACCAAGTGTGGTAAGATGGTACAGCCCTTCTTCTACAAAATGTGTCCGATCGTTTTTGAGATGAAATATACTTGGTATTTGTCCATAAGCTGAGCAATGTGACATACGAGAGTTGATCATAAAGTTCTCATAATATCTCTCTAATTTCTTTATTTTTCAATATTTTCCTATGAAATTTTCACAGAATGTGCAGCATGAAATGGTTTATTAATCCAGCTAACAATATTTAGAATAACGGAAACATTGAATAAGAAATGGTTGCCATAGTAACTTGAAATCAAGTTTTTTTATTTTTGGGAATTGTGACTTAGACAATGTCTTGAGACATCACCTGTATTAAACACGCACATGTCATGCAATCTGTGTTTATGATGAGAGGTCTCGGTCGGGGGGCCTGGCAGACAAGGTCTAGTAGCTAAGCTTCCCCTAACTACCGTCAGTACTCATGTGACGGGTAGTGTATATTTGTAGATCCTAGGGTAATGACATTGGTGTGTTATTCCCTATCTTCATTCACGTAGAGAGAGGCCGGTAGCGGATCTTCTCCCTTATATGTTGGTCATTATAAGGGCCCAAGATGTTTCGAACTCATGGGGGTATCCCATGATTGTTCTTCCTCAGCGGCCGAATGAATATTGTATGTGATTTATTGTGATTTTATTGTGAATGATAATGCTGTTTTATTTCTATCATTCAGTTGTATTTTAATAGGTTTCCCGTATTCATTTTTAGCGGGAGGGGGGTGGTTGTTTATGCGTATTGGTTTATTGCATAAAGGCGTGGTCAGTTTATTGATGAATTTTAGTTTGGTTTGGTTTGTGGTTAAGCCATATGGTCATGTATGTTATATGTTGATATTGTGTGTATTTAAAGGGTTGTTGGCTTGTTCTTGTTTGGTTGCATTTTGTGGTGTTTTCAATTTGTTGAGTTGGTGTGCGTTTGGCAGTGTCTGTGGTGGGTTGAGGGTAGGTAAATTACATTTTGGTGGTTCAGGTGGTAAGTTTACTGTTTCAGCTTTCCGTTGGTATATGTGATATGTTGCTAGCATATCTTGTTGTTAAGATATTAACTTGAATGTAGGGTTTAATGGCCCGTATTTTAAATATTTTGGTTTTCCGATATTTGTGTTTCATCGGGAGGGTGTATGTGTATTGGTTAATATTGCATCGGGGTATGGTCGGTTCAATGTTGAAATTGGATTTGGTTGTTTTGTTCATTGTTTCAGCTTCATGGTCAGGTATATGTTATGTTCATATTGTGTGTATTAGAAGAGTTGTTGACTTTTTCGTGTTTGGTCGTGTTTTGGTGTTTTCGGCATTTTGCGATATTTTCGATTTGTTGAGTTGGTTTGAGTTTGGTGGTGACTACTAGGATGGGTCTATGGTAGGTAAATTGTCTTTTGATGGTTCAGGTGGCTTGATTAA